AAAAGCAACACCATCACAATCATGAAGAGGATTCAACTTAACCTCCCCTCCGCACTTCCGATAAATTCAAGTGCAAAGTATCGTAACTTTTTGTTTGTGGCGCCGCGCTCTCACTGCTGTCTCGCTGAGATAGCCTATTATGACGTCACACCGTTTGGTGGAGGCATGCGTGGAACGTGGAGGTCGCAGCAGTGTTAGGGAGAAAAGGCAGCCGGCCAGCTCGGGAGGAAGGACGGATGTGAGTTGCGTACGGGATGAGTGAAATCCGGACAGACTGACTTGCTGGTTCGCGATGATACATTAGTCTGATTTACAGACCTAGTCGTTAATCCTTGAGTCGCCCTTCGTCCTCCTTTTCTAATGCGTCTACTTTGCACAGATTCTTTTAAGTTTGAGTTTGTCAAAATGTACGTCCTTTCTTCAAAATATTAAACGGAAAGTAGAAAAGGACTATTATGGCAATGCCATGAAAATAATGAACGAAGTCACTCGTCCTTTGATCGGGTTAAAAGACCTTTAAGGTGAGAGAAGTCACTTTGAATTTGTCAAACAACTTCCAGTGTGCAGTAGCGAACATAGAATTTTCAAAACGGGAGGGGTCGACAAACTTTATACCTCTTTGCTTATAATGCGTTTATCAAAGTTATCCGAATGGCTGGGAGTGGGATCCCAATTTTTGTTGAGAACCAGATATGAGAGTTATTCAAAATTAGGGTAAAAGGCACCATGTCTCGTTTGCCCCCCCCCCCCTCACCCGATCCGAAGCCCATGTAGCTCTTAAAATAGAACAAAATGCTGGTAATAATTCAAACGACTTCTACAGTCAGAACTGATGACACCAATGTTGGAGGTAGAATACGGGATTAAAAAGAAAAAGAAAATCGTCAGCCGAATCACAGGGGAGCTATTTGTTTGCGAGAACCAAAGGTGACGTTTTACCGATCGACTCTAAATTTGGAATCAAAACTCAACATTTTTCTCCGACACCAAGCACGTACAAAAGTCGTACAAGTATCGACGCAAGTATTTTGTTCAATAAATTTATGGCTTGAGAACTCGAAGGAGACAAAACTATAATTCTCGGATTGGAGACCGAAAGCTTGCAGGACCACCAGTGTTCGTCTTGTTTAAGGAAACTTCGGAAATATTGACCCAAATTTATCATCTTTAACTTTTTTTAATGTGTGATATACCTAGATTTTACATTTGATATGATTTCCTTTTTTTTCAATATAGGGCTACTCTTTCCACAAAATGTAAAAGTTAACAAAATGCAAACTTTGTGTTAGCTTTTAAATCTAAGGCTCGATGATCAGAATCTCGATCGTTCTATTTCATCAATTTCTCTTCGCGCGCCATTTAGAAGCATACGCAATCTAAATAGCTGACCCCTTTTCTTTTATTGTTCTAGTGCATTAAGTGTTTATATGCTTTCAATATACTAAAACGACAAATGTTTGAGAATATATAAGAGAAACAAAAACCAAGTTGGTATTCAATGCGAGATTGTCGAAAGTAATTTTTGCACTGTAATTTGTTGATCTATATTAGGCCTAGACCCAATGTATTTTCTTAGAAAAGTTATCAAATTGGCAAATTCCCGTTTAAGACTTGGGAATACAAAAGCTAGAAAGTAATCCAAAGTCTTTCCAAATAACATAGATAACGACCCCCTATAACGAGGCCCATAACCTTGAATCAAACAAGATTTCGAAACGTCCAAAATGTAACATTAAGCGGGGTTTGTGACATTAAATGTTCAAAAGCACTCGTATCTAACGCATTCGGACATAAACTTTGATTGGACCTGACAGTGGAAAGAAAACTTTCACTTCTTGGCTTTATGTGTGGTTTAGAGCAGATTCCATCTAGATGATGTCTCGCAACACCCAGGCGAGAGGCGGCTTACCGCCGTCGAGTTGGCTTGACATCGGCGTCGAGACCTTCCACGAAATCGTCCTCCCCTAAGCCCCGCTCTTTAACCTCATGTGATACCACTCTTCTCAATTAATCAGCAAAAGTTGATCTCGAAAAGACGCAGATTTTCTCACAAAGTGAAAGCTTTATAGGTAGGGCCACTCGGTCTGTTATGAGCAGACGAGAGGGGAGTGGGTATCAATTTAGCAAATGACATTGCCGCCTTTTCTCTTCATCAGCACGATCGAATGGGTCGAGATATGCTCTTTCAAAGGTAACAAAAGAATTTTCGAACCTGCAAAGGTTGGTCCTAAAATATTCAGTTTATCTCGTGGATATCGCAGCGATAAGGGGGGATGGTCTTTGTTTAACGAGAGGCATTTTCAAAACAAAGGATGTGTTCAAGTATATCGAAAAGTTTTTTCTAGTTTAATAATGAAAGTAGTAAAAAGCGAACTACGGACTTCGTGTGTTAGAAAATAACAAAGTAATGAAAAGAGAGGAATGAAGAAAGAAACGTGTATGATGTATGCATTATGGCATGAAAAGATGATGAATATAATTTTTAATTTCATCTAGTTCTTGTGCATATTCTCTGTCTCTATGTCCCAATGCATTTCTCCTCTATGTTGCTTTCTCTCTCTCGTTCTCTCTCTCTCTCTCTCTCTCTCTCTCTTCCTCTCTCTCTTTCTCTCTCTCTTCCTCTCCCTCTCTTTCCCTCTCTCTCATCTACGTTTCTACATAAACATTTTTTCTGTAGCACTCCACACAAAATATAAAGTCGGACATAATATATTGGTCATATAAAAATACTGAGCAAAGAAATGAGTAAAGTGGAGGAGAGAAATTGAGATCAAAAACAAATCTTTAAGAGAAAGAAAGACAAAGAAAGCGAAATGAATGAATAAATGAAGACAGAGAAAGAGAGAGAGAGAAAACGAGAGAGATAGAGAGAGGGAGAGGGAGAGATAGAGAGATAGGAGGAGGGAGAGAGAGAGAGAGAGAGAGAGAGAGAGAGAGAGAGAGAGAGGGAGAGAGAGTGATTGAGAGAGGGGAAGAAAGAAAGAAACAAAATAGATAAATTATAGAGAGATAAGACAGAGGAAGGAAAAGGGAAAGGATGCGGACACAGAGTGAGAGAGAGAGAGAGAGAGAGAGAGAGAGAAAGAATTAAATATATAGAGTGACAGATAGACAGGCAGACAGGAGAGACAGCAGAAGATGAAAGGAGAGGACAATGACACGAAGACAAGATGCCTATCGCTTTTCCAAATAGGAAGAAAATGTATGTTTATCATAACGATAACAGTGAACATCATCGCTGTTTATTAGTCGAGAAAGCAAAATGAAGTTGGTGGTCCTCTACCGCACACGTCAACGCAATACACCTTGATCTAAACTGAAAGTCATTGTAGCGTAAGGAAGTTTATACATGTACAAGAAATATCTCTTGTATAATCACGAAAGTTACATATCTATTTTCAAAAGAAGGAAAAAGTTATGGTAAATGAATGACGTAATTGATACATATTTTAATTAATGGACAAGGTACTGGCTTATAAGGATTTTCTTTCTTTGTCATTCAGTCACTCAAACATCGTTTCAGTAAGTTCTTGTTCAAAAGGTTTATTTCAAAGATATTGAATATATATTCAGATTACCCTAATGCAGTAGTATTAAATTCTAATTAAACCTTCATATAGTTCACACAAAAATTAAACGAGTGCATCGACGCATATTTTTACCTCATTTTGTATGGAATGGATAATATGTTCTTAGCTGCATACCTTCAATTCACTATATCGACGTGCGTACGATATTAATGTAATTATAATTAATATCATAACAATATTTTAAATTCTTCAATATCCTGGACTTACAAACAAAGGAACGTTAAAAAGCTGATACATGAGCCGATACTTCAAAAGTAAAGGAATCCATACCATCCACATCGTGGTCACAGATTTAATATTACGTAATGTGCAAAATGCTGATGTCTTTGACCACCAATATCCTGACATCTTATACTTGTTTCTCCGCCAATTTGTGTTGCTTTCTCCTTAATAAGTTTAATAAATCGTTTTTCTTTCCAGTGAAATCGACGAGCACTTTAATTAAATGTAAAGTTCGATTGACATCACAACATTAGGCAGCCATTACGCAGTAAGTTCGACCGCTAGATGTCAACGACCTACAGTACACTGTGGGACTAAATCAATTATGATCATTGGAAGGTACACTAATGACTAATCAGTTACTCAGTCGCAAGACACTGGTATTCTGCAGTATTATGATCCAGTTAGTTCATTTACTCATTTGACAGAGATGAAAGGTCACAGATTTAGTCACATGTGCATGAGCAAAGGTCACAAGTTTTTAGGGTTTGTTTTAGCGCTTGATGAAGTACGCATCCATTATTCCAGTAATAATTTGTGCAGGAATACGAATCTCATTTGCCAAATTACTTGCAGGATAATATCCAAAGTCTTATTTTCTGTTTTACTATTCTTCTTTTACTAGTAAAAAAACAAAAAAGACTATCATCTGTCTTTAGACTATAGAGAGAATTGGGTATTGATGCACCATTACGGCAGCAGATTCACGGCGAATGGGCAGCTCTTTTGAGTTGAAAAAAAGTAAAGAAGAGACTTTATTATTTCGGGAAAATTATTCATATTTACCATCAATTCCCCTCCAACCGATTGAGTCGGGGAGGGGGTAGGGGCATGTTGAAGCAACATGGACTATCATATTCCTGGAAATGACTTTTGGAAAAAAAACTCTTTGGTTAAAATATGGGGGTGTTCGAGCCTCTGATATCCCTGACCTTGAACTTAAAGAACTCTCAAAGTATCTAAACCGCGAGGGGAGTGTACTTTGAGGCGTTACCATGGCAAAACAGGAACGCCTCCTGGCTTTCGAAATCGTATTCAACTTCCAGACGATACTCCGTCTGCTGTCAGCACTATAACGGTCTTCAATGCACTTTTTAATTGCACCCGGAATCCCCTCGGCAATTACTACTTTCCGTTTTAAAGTTGCGGCTTAGGAGTTGCTTGATAGACAGTGTTAGAAATGAGAGAGAGAGAGAGAGAGAGAGAGAGAGAGAGAGAGAGAGAGATTTGGTAGTATGGGACAGAGTGAGTGAAGTATGGGACAGAAGTGTGGTCCCATTCAGCGAAGTGTGGGACATCGCCATTCGTTTATGTACTGGTCCATACTACCTCTCAAAATTACGGAAGTGTGGACCAAAAGGCCCACACTTCCTAGAAGTTTGGGGCAACTTCCATAGAAATGATAGTCACCAGTCTTTTGATTATGGAAAGCTGGAATGTATTGTATTTGCACAAAAAACACAATTTATCATTTAAAATTGTATTTACATTTGTGGTTTCTTGGTTGTCGTCACAGGGAATGACGATCAAGACAAAAACAACAACTAAGTGCTAAAATCAACTAAAAACCATAATTTTTCCGGGAGACTACCTCAAAAGGGCCTTTATAAAGTTTAATATACAGGCACGCATGTGGACACCGGCGCCCCATACACTCTACATTAATTAGCTAATTAATACTAGGAGTAATTAGCGACACAAAAACAAAGCAATAAGATGGAAGAATCGAGCGATGACATGGACTTTTCTATAGATTCTACGGTAAGTACACCGCATATCTCACGTTAAACTAATAGTGAACTCTAACCGTGAAAAATAATTTCTAAAAACTAGTTAACAGGGACTCTACGTAGACTACTCGTAATTAGCACGCATTAATTACCACCGGTATAGCGGCTAGTCGTCTAGTTACAGATCAGCGGTACCATACCCCTAACTCCAGGAAGCTCCAACACCGGCGCCGCGGCGGCGGTGTTGGAGCTTCATGGAGTTACGGTACCCCCAAAACTTCCGCTGAAATTACATCTCGACCTACGTCTGGCTTTAATGACTGTGGAAAAATGTCAATTTTATTCTTTTAAAACATCCCATACCAGACGGACATTTTTGTCTAGTCCAAATCTAGAATTATTGATCGTCCTTTTTAGGTTTAAGAAATAACTAATCTGGTCTAGATTATAGACTAAACATCTAGTACTTTGGAAGTAGAAATCTACTGTAGATCTAGAGGTATAGAGTTCTTAGTTAGACTTAAAGGTCTAGACCTAGATCTACTTAAAATGACACCATGATTTATGATAAAAATGTAATATTTTTCAAAGTGTTCCCAGGTTTTGGTTTGTTTTGTTTTCAATTAACTTCGGAGTAAATCAACAACTCTTTCACGTAAAGTCAGAAAACCGTATCTACTAAGCATAATTTAGCCTAGATCTAGTCTAGATCTATGACCTTTTTGATGATACAGTATGATTGAAATATGTGCTTAATTTTTAAGTATTAATCAAGTATCAGTAGACGGCTTCGGGTTAGACAGAGTCTAGGCTCTAGCTAGGGACAGTAGATAAGACACTCTGTGAAAATATTTATAAGTAAAGATTGGATGAAAAATATGATTGATGAAATTACAAAGTTCCATAGAGAGTGCTTCAGATGTTTGGAGAAGTGAATTCAACAGCTCATCTCTCCATCTCCTTTTTTTTTTTTGCTGGATTTGCCATTAACTAATTCCTGTAAACATGTAGATTTAAGTCATTGAAATTATTGGTGAAATTAGATATCATTATAGGTGAAATAAGTCACATTAACATTTTCACACTAAAATTCCAACTTAAACAGTAAAGAGGCATTTAGAATGGAGTAGCACAAATACATTAACAACAAGCAGTAAACACAGGCAAGGAAAGTAATTGATGATTTTGTCCTTTTCACAGATGCAAGCCAATGCACACCATATTGCCAGAATGCTAGCCTTCAACATCCCTCCCCATGTATACTACCCTCATTTGAAAAAAGGAGGCTCTCTTAAAGAACTGGCAAGAAAATTTCGAAAAAGAGATGAGAATGATGAGCAAGAAGAGGATGATGAAATGGAACTAGACGATGATGAAGAAGAGGAAGGAACAGAGGATGATGAAATGGAAGGAACAGATGAGAATGAAGAGGAAGGAGGAACAGAGGGTGGTGACAAGGAAGGGGGATCAGAGACTGAGGAAGGAGAAAAGAATGAAGAAACCATAACAGGTCAGTTGTACTGGTAGCATAATGGTATATTATAATTATTTTATTCATTGTTATTTCACTGTCTTTAATATAAATAATTATATAAAGTATTGATCGTTGAGTAGTGATTTTTCTTTATTTGTTTCTGTTTTATTTTGTCAGGAGAGCCAATGGTAACACAGTGATGATTGTGTACAAATATAGTTTTCCTGTCCAAGAACACTTGCATGAATAATCATTTTCATATTTTGTTTACTTTGTTCTTCTCAAAAATTCATTACTATATTTCATCCCAACTTAACAGAGATCATCCTTGGGCAAGTGTAATCTAAACAGTTAAAACGATAGTATCCATGTAAAAAGAGGGCATAATAGATACTCTCAAATTGTTATAAGTTGATACTCTGTTGACAAGTGGGCATGGAGGACCCCATCCCAATATGTAGTAGTATTTATACATTTTTGACATATTTAAGGGACAAGTACAGTGTACCTCCCCCTCCCCCTCCTTGTTATCATCATGGACCAACTTCTCCCCCTCCCCAAGGATTAATGTCCCTGAATCAGGACATGGCAAGCACACACACTTGTGTGATGGACTGTAGTTATATGTCTGAAGGAAAATGAGAAGGGGACATGAGGAAATTTAAGGAGGTTATCATGAGCTATCACATGGCAGTTCAGAAACAACAAAGCTGTAAACTATAATGACTGTGAAACAGATAACTGAAGATCTCAATTTATAGTTTTGAACTGTTCAATACAAATTCTATATCCTTGTTATATGATATGCTATGCTATATCATATTGTATTGAACAGTTCAAGATGAAAAGAAATGTTTTTTCTGTCTGAAGAGCAGTAGGTTGATGAAAGTGAGATTACTTGTTATCATTCCATTCTAGAATCTTCTAAACGTGGAGAGCCAAGCTTGAGCAAAGATGATACTGAAGATGAAGATGAAACTGAAGATGAAGATGAAGATGAAGAAATTAAAGAACATCAAAAGAAATCTGGTAAATATAACCAATCATTATTTTCATGCAAAAGGTTTTTATATTCCAAACAGTTACAAAAATCAAAAATCAAAACGGCTATGATTTTGAGAAGTTCCTTTGGAACACTTCAAATAAAGTTGTATTATAAATATTGGTGTGTTTTAGGCCCTGTGCAAATAATTATTTCAAGAAATGCTCTTTATTCACATGTATTATCAAAGATTCTTTAAGAAGGAAACACTTATAGGGATAAAAAATGATTTAACATTTATGGCAGTGTAAAATTATTTTGTTTCCTCCTAGGAAGGATGCCACATACTTTTTAATCTCAAATAATATAATATGATTTGTAAAGAAACAAACTATATCACATTCATGCTTCAATTTCCAATGTTTATCATTTTAAAGACATTTTGGGCTCACTCTCCAAGCCTTTTTCAAGGCGAATGAAGACAATAATGATGATTTATTGTTGTCATTCGGCTTGATAAAGGCTTGGAGATCGAGCCAAAGATTTGTCTCTAAAATAATAAACGTTGGAATTTCAAGCAAGAATGTGATGCAACTCATTGTAAAAAAAACTTTTACAGTATATATCCAAGAGGTTGACCTCTACAATTTGAATATATACGTACGTATGTGTGTAGGTATGAAACATTTGTTGTTATATTTCATGTTATTCACACTAGGTCGAATTGAACGACAGTGTCCAGTATGTAACTCACCAACAGCAATGCTTGCAAAGCATCTCCGAAGAAAACACAAAAACCTAAATGAAGAGGAAATATGGGGCTTCATATACCAAGCCAGGAAAAAGTAAGCATGTATCATTAAGTATATCATGATTAACATGGTTTGTACATTACAAGATATCTCTGCAACATTGGAAAAATATTTTGTTGAATAAGAATAAGAATAAGATTTGCTATTGATTATAAACATTGAGTTCATTATAACACTTCTTTGTAGTATTTTCGTTGTTCATCCTATATTATAAAATGATTAAACATCGAACAGAAAAGAGTTTGCAAACTTTGAGATCATTTATTGTTTTTAACTTTCTGTATTGAAGTGGGAGATGTTGTTTATATTTATATGTTTGATATTTTCTTTATTTAGAGTCCCTATTCAAAGACAGTCTTCAAGGGGAAAGAAGAGATATGGCAAGGACTGCCCACTGTGTCAGGCAAAGGGCCTCACAAAGCTCACAGATCATCTTAAACGAAAGCACAAGGGTACTCGGCTAGATGCTGGAGGAAAGAAAGGTATAATACTCTATTTACAATCTTTTGAAGTCTACTAGTGTTTGTAATGTCACCACTGATTTCATATAAAAGTCATGTACTACATGTATAGTTTTAAGTCAATAAATCAAGTTGAGATGTCGCAAAATAATTGTGTCTATTCTGTTAAGTCCATTGGTCTTATGTTGTGTTACCTTCCCTCACATCAACAAGGATGTCTTTGGTAATTTGCTTATTGATTTAATATTATTTTCCATCTTGATGCTTGGAGTCAACAATTAATGAGTATTATGTTTACATTTTACCTTCACTTTTAAAGCCACACAGACAGACATTTTCGACAGATTCCATAAGTTTGCAAAGTTTTGCTGTAAGGACAAAACAAGTGAACAACATGTAACACAGCTGAGGAAGATGTCTGAAATGGCAGGTGGCCTCAATGTCTTGTTCAACGATAAGGACTCAATATACAGGTAACTTTCCCCCTAAATGAATTGTTTAAATATGTGTACATCAGCTGAACATTGCAACAACATTGAGAGAAAATAATACTGCCAGCTAATGTTGCTATTAAAAATAACTTGCCTGGCACTTGACATAGAGTTAATAGAATATGTGAGTACATTACTTAAAAGATTATTGTGTGGTTTAAACTTACTCTGAAAATCGTTATTCAAAATTAAATGAACCCAAAATATAAATTTTAATGACTCTAAGTTTAACTTACCCCATTTCTCTCTTTGGATATTTGCACTTGAAATAGTGCAGAATTTTCAATGACTACATGTGGTATTAAAGTGGTAGATCGAGGAGCTTGCTGTTTTCCTATCACCTTGATCAATCAATGAACATCTCACTGTCTGCTTTTGATATCAAATCCACCTCTGCTATTGTTTCTTTAAATGTATTAGAATTTGTTTTGCTAGAAGTAATTTTTTTTTAAAGAGAATACAGGCAAAAGTAAAACTCCAACCTTCAAATAATTTTACCATAATCCCAGGGTTTTTGAAGAGCTGAAGGCAGAGTTCAGACCGAAAACAGTCAGCAAGTATTTGTCCAGCTTTTCCAAGTTTATCGCGATGCTGAAAGTAGAATATTCTGATGCAGAACAACTTAAAATTTCTCCAAGAGAAATCCAGCGAATGGAAGGACTTCTGATTCAGCTTACAAAGAACACTGCTCTTGGAATCAAGGAAAGAGAGGCGGAATTAAAAGACACTATTCAAGGTTGCTTGAGGGCATTAAATGAAATTCGTTGATTTCCAATTAATCTCATGTGTTTTTAAATCGTTGCATTTGTTTGTTTCTTTCCAGTTCTTTTTTAAGGTTAAAATTTATTTGCAATTTTTTTTTGAATTTGTTGAATGCTTTTAAAAGCTCATGTCATATTTTTGCTTCTTGCCAGTTCTTTGGAAATGTTAACATGTCTTGACAATTGTTTGTTTCATTTTGTTGAATTTTCTCACCTGAGCAAAATGCTCACCTGAATAATTGTGATCGCGCTCGATCACCGTCAGTCCATCTTTGTCGTCCCGGTAAACTTCTACATTTTCGACTTCTCAAAAACGTATGGTCACATTTAAACCAAACTTAATGGGGATCATCCTTAGGCAAGGCGGACCTAAGTTGGTTACAATGAAGTACCCATTTGCCGGGGGATTGGGGGCAGCCCCTTTCCCCCTATGTGTCCCAGGGTCAAAATTTTCTTCTAAAAAACCTTTTGCTGTATTTTAGCCAAATATGACAAGAACCATCATTAGGAAAGGAAGTATTACATTGTTAAAATGGGGTTCCCATTTGACAGCCCCTCCCCCCCCCCCCTCCCCGAAATGCTTCAATGTACATAATTTGACATTTCCAAATTCATTTTCATAATTGCTTTTACTGGATTTTAGCCTAAATGGACAGGGATCTTAAGTTGTTAAAAAGGGTTACCCATCTGACAATGGGGGCATGGAGGACCCCCCTCCCCCCCACCAAAAAAAATATATATATATAATAATAATCTGGAAATAAATTGTCCATGGGGCCATAAATACCCCCCTTGTTATCATGGGGTACAGTAACTCCCCTCCCCCCCCCCCCCAAAAAAAAAGTCAGGGCATGGCAGACCCCTAATTTCATCTCCTCAAATTAACAAATGGTCCACGGACTTCTTGTTAAAAGTTATTTTGTTTTTGTTTTTTATTCCGTTCTTCCAATTCCCCCCATTTTGTGGAAATGGTTGATTTCAGTTTATGTTTAACATATAAACTAAAAAAAATTCTTTTTTTGTGTGTGTGTGTTTCAATTTTTCATTTCTTTGCATGAGTGCTTCTTTTCATGTCACAAAATAGTTAGCTGCAGTATTTACTCATTTCCATCACCTTAGCTGTCATACATGTGAGACTCTTTAATATTCCTCATTCTTTTAGTTTTTCTCTTGACTGTCGGTATTAAAGTGTGTTAGTACTAAAATACTGCATCTCACCATTTTAAAGACTGCATTGAACTTAGTTCCTTCCTTCATTCCTTCCTTGAACCTCTGTATCAAATAAGTGAGATTAGGTTCGATATATTCATGGTGAAAAAAGTCAGGAAGGATTATTTTGGTAAATTAATACCAAGATGATAAAAAATGAATAGCTAAAAGATAGTAACAAATCAACTTTTTTGTGAAACAAGTACTTGTACTTATATCCCTCTTTTCCAAATATTCAATATACAAAAAAAAAAAATCTATTCTGTATTTGAGTATCCACTATACTAGTGATATGTTGAATATTACCATGGTAACAGCAATTTTATGTTCATGCTGACAACACAAAACGTTTGAAATATATTTTATAGAAGAAAGTTCCATAATGAACCTGCACACTTGAAATACGCTAACGTTTACAAAGAAATAGGAAATATGTAGACACAAATAATCAAAATATAAATTGAGACGAGCAATATACATGTGTAATATTCCACTTCAAATACAATTTGCTATCACCATTCCTTCATGATATAACCATGTATGAACTATTGAGATGGATAAATGACACTCCTGTATTACCTGCATATGACATATGTTCAATTAGTCTTATATTTTCTATTTACAGAGTTGATTATTCCTAGAGAGCATCTGAGGAAGTTCTATACGGAATTGAAGCATCACGCGGATAGCTTTGAAGGTTTGATCATTCTTCTTTTTTTTTTAATTGCATGCGACTAAAGGAATTTAATAACAGACAATGAGAATGAATTGCATATCACAATATCTCAAGTGTGGTGATAGGGATACTAATGTGGAACTTAAATGATTTTATCTAATCCAACATAAAGAAAGTTTACCAAGTATGTGTAAATATCAAATTAACATGTAGTTTAGAGGGAGTCTGAGGTGGAATGCTCTTTAACAGGCTTATACATGTACATGCACAGATAGATTGAAATAATATCTGATCTATTGCTATGTGTGGTTTTATTGCAGGAACTGACTGAAACATTCTTTAACATTTATTAAAGATTGCTTTTATTACTATATTCGTATTTTCAGAAAGATTTGCAGCTGGAGAAGAACCAAGATGGGACCAAATAAAGATGTTGCGAGACTTCTTGCTGTTGATGGCAATGTTGAGTGGTGCTCCGAGGAGCTGTGTGCTTACGAATATGACTGGTGAAGAAGTAGCAAATGCTACTAATTGCTCTGGTAAAAGGGTCATTAAGGTAAGAGAAAAACTTAATTCTTCAAAGAAGAAAAGGAAGTTACCGGTATGCCTTAAAAATGTTACTTCTTTAGTACTTTTTTACCTTCAATTAGATGTGTATTTGTAGATCTGAAAAAGCTACTTAATTCATAGAGATACTAGGAGTTGAAAGAAATTATGGCAGAATCAATGAAGTATCTAAACTTGCAATAAACCCAAGATAAATTAAACTGTAGGATACACGTTTATAAAGCCAGATTTTATTCAAAATTGTTTATGGTGGTATTTCAATGAAGAGTCTACTTTTCTGCAGGTTGGTGTTCACAAGACAGCTCGTGTTTATGGCAAAGCACAAGTGATCATTCGAGAGGATCAGTGGAAATATTTCACAATGTACGATGAAGTGAGGCATCTCTCTCCCGGTGGTTCTCAGTCAGTGGTAAACATGCAGGCACCATTCTTCCTGTCATCTAAGGGAAAGGGAGTAAACAAGCCCAGTACTGCACTCAATGAGTCTTGGAAGGACTTTGGCCTGCCAGGCAAAATCTCATCAAGGGCTATCAGGAAGACAGTGGTGACAGCAGTAAGTTAAAGACGTTGTTATACTTCTTTTAAAAGAATGTTTCTCTTTTTGTATCCCTCTCATTTTTATCAGTAATTTTGTATGGAGTTTAGGATAATTCATTTTATGTACCCAGTTATTCTTGCTTGTCCCATGCAACCATAATGAAAAACGACCAGAGCTTATAAATTTATGAACTTGTTAGATCTTGACTTTTAATATTAAGCATTCGCCTCCATGTATAGGCTCTAATTGGGGCAGATTTTAGTTTTTTCTAATGAAAAGAGCTCATTTCACCTCTTTTAATGTGTACTGAAGTCTCTGATCAAGTTTATGCCCCCGAAACACATACTGATACTAGATGCATGTGGATTAATGCCTAATTCTTCTCACAGCATTTCATTCATTCCCTACGATGTTTTGTGTTCTGTTACAGGCACGAGATGAATTATCAAATGAGGAGCGGCAAAGAATCGCTAGTTTCATGTGCCATTCTATAGAAACTGCTGATCACTACTATGCTGCGAGGTATAAGACCTCACAGAACATCGAATGTAGAGACCGAGTCTGGGACATGCTTGTTGGAGAGGTAATAATTTGTTTATTACCCATGTTCCTTACATTAAAAATATGGCTGATTCCTTCTTAATTAAGATCTCAGTGATTTCGCTTGTCGATTGCCACAAAGTGCTCTGTGTGCACTATTATTTATATACCAAGACGAACTTTGAGTTTGATTGAGTTCAATGTGAATTTGCTTATCAAATTTTCATGAACAAAGGCCAATTGTAGTAGTGTATACATACTTTATGCATGATCTCCTGATGAAAAATGTCTCCCTATGTACTGAAAAGCTTGTTGGGGATCGTCAAACATTGCAACAGCTGACATATTCATGCTAATTGCATATCTCCCAAATTTGACTACAAGTATACCATGTACTCTACTTGCAGAGAAAGAAAATACATGAATTCAAAACATTAGGGAACTTGTCTGTTGAATGCAAACTGAAAGCACCTTTGTTGTGATAGATTTGGCCTAAATTATTATTTTTTTAAAATTTTTAATGTATGTGCATAACAGGAAGTCCAGCACTATGCCGATCAGCAACAACAGCACAATTTGAGGCAATCACCCCAGCACAATACAGAGGCAACGGAGAGTGTGGAATCACCCAATACAGAGGCAGCAGAGAATGTGCAGTCACAACAAGCCCCCCTGACCCAACACTTACAAAATAAAACCAGAAAGGTTTGTAAACTGCTAACCCCAAACTTTCTAAATTCAAAAACAGCATTTTGTTTTTAATATTTTTTGGTTTTTAATTTTGTTTTGGGGGGAATGAGTTTTTATAACCCTTCCCAACAAAGTTTGAATAATCAGGGTGTGGGCAGTTGTCAGTCCACTGCAACATTTCTGAAGCAGACTACTTTTACACTGTTCGAGCCTTCAAGTTGACTTTCAGGTATAAATATGATTGACTATGGTAATGGCTGATTTGAAGAACAAAAAGTTGTTTACTGCTTCCAAAGTTTGGAGCAATATGGCAGAAACATGGTTGCCATATTTGGGGTATTAATCACCATTAGCAATATTTTTAGTTTTCTTCTCTTCATTTTGTCCCATTTGCAAGTTTATTAAGTGATAATGTAATATTAGACTTGGTTAGGTGGCTAGTGGTTTGTAAGTCTGCACTGTTTATCACAGATGCAATATTCTATGCTTCCTTGAAGACATTCTTGTGATTATTTATATTTTCTTTGCCTTGACTGTACTATTCAATATTGCTTTTACCAGCCAAGATCTCGCTTTAGACTGACTAGTTCTGAACTTGAGGATATGGAAAGAACTGTCCGTGCTGTGCTCAACAGAACATGCTTCAAAACAAAAAATCCAAAATTCAGGGACATAGTGAGTATTGTAGTTATTTCCAAAAGTATTTAGCACAAGTAAATGAATAATTCATAATGTATGAAATATTGGCCAGTTAGCTGTTTGCTAATGTATCATTAGCATGTTATGGAATATTATGTCATGTCAACTGGAAGTGTTATTAGGAAGAATTAAGAGAATTTCGTTATAATGTAGGCATATTGTCTTATCTCTCGTTTTGGGGAGTAAATATAGTAAAAAATAATTTTGTTTAACTGATATTTCAAAGGATATAACATCTGAATATTTACACTACATGGTTTATCTTTGATATTAAGATGTGTTTACTTTGTGTCCTTGTCAAATGACCTTTAAAAAAGTTTCATGAGGTTTAAAGGTACTATGTTCCTTTTGCAGCCAACCTCAAATTCTGTAGAACTTTGCAGGAATTATGAATATGTCATGTATGTCCTATCTGTGAAATGTAAACGTTAGCAGTGTCCTCATATTCAAATTATGCAAGGAAACCTGTTTACTTGCTAGACTTCACTGTCAGACACTATTGAGTGACTGACTGGCTTTTTTCTTCTTTGGTAATAACATACATGAAAAGAGTTGTAAAGGGTACATGAGCATTTGTCTACATCAATAACCCACTTCTTGTGATGGCCAAGATTAAATTGATTGAATCTTTGCGCAGCATAAAGCGTATGACCATTCGGTACAATTGTCTGAAAATCAAGACTATTACTTTTGGGCTCTATAGCCCTAAAGTCGTTTTGACAACTAATAGTCGTTATTTTCCCACTTGAAGACATTTTCAAGCCCCACCTTTTTTAGGGAAGTTCTAAATTAGTAATATCTTTTAAATGCAGTTGGAATTTAACTTTTTCATTTTTTTGGCCTGCAAATGGGACATAGTACCTTTAAGGGAAGTGACAAGAATTGCATATTATTCAGACATTTTGGTTTGACTGTTGATTAAACCAATTAATGTATTTATTTTGTTCAGACTGATGAAGCTTACCCCCTAATAATGGCAACTACAAGGCAGAAAATGTCAAGGCAACAGTTCTATGACAAGGCTCGCAACATGGGCCTGAGAGATGGTAAGATTATTGTCTTAATATATCCCAAGTCTTAAAAATAGTGGAAACCAGTTGATACCAATTAAAATGTTAACATGTTTTTAATGGTTTCAACTGGCCAGTTATAGCACCAGTGGATTCCAGTTTATTCTAGTTAAGATGTCAAACAATATTTCATGATACTAGTAACGACCAGTATACAAATACCAGTGGAAACCAGTAAAAGTACCAGTTGGAACAACTATCCCCAAATGGTGCTAAACTAATTCAACTAACATCCGGTTTCCTATTGGATCTACATGTAACTTGTTTCAGTTTGTTATGTTGCTTTCAAGTGAAAATAAAATGTCCCACTTGAAGCAAGTCCAATTACATTGAATGTTTTCCAGTTGAGACCAGTAGAATATATCAGTAGCCAATGGTATTTTCAACTGTATAAGGAAACTAACTACAAAAAGTTAACTGACTGGAATCAGTTAGTTGAGATCAAATGGATTTCAACTGGGATTAACTGGATATTTTTTTTAACCTGATGTATGATTTGGAATATGCTTGTCAGGACTTTTAAACAACCATACAAATCAAATCATGCCAAACTCATTTAATTGGAGGAAAGCAATTGCAAGGGAACGCCTTCCTCTGGTCTCTCTTTGCAATTCAAATTGAAATTGGCATTTACATTATGTTGGCCTAATGCATGTGAAAATGTGAAAGTGTGTTGCCATGGAAACATCAAATAGTATATATTTGTTGAAACAATAAATCTCAATAATGCAATACGCTGGTGTGGGATATAAATCAACTTAACTGATATTTCTAGTTTATTATGCTTACTGTTTACAATGGTTTCATGAAATCTTAGGATCCTTTTACAGCAACTGCATATCAGAGGCTGAATTAAGTTTGCATAACATATATACCAGAATCTGATTCAATGGAATCTTGGGTAACCTTATAGTTAATGTTGAGGGATAATCTAATTGTTTCAGAATACATTCTAATGGGATAACCTGTCACTTATATGTGTGTTTTTGTCTCTCTTTAGGGCTTTGGTGACTGTATGGTGGATCGTTCAACATGTTACATTCCCTACACATCATGATGTCTTCTACCAGAGATTACTAGAGCACTCCAGAGTAAACAGAATAGTTCCAGATTCTCAGCACATTATTATATTTCTTTTGTTACAGAAGGGTTCATGTACCACTTAGGCAGCCATTTTTTTTTTTTATGAATTAGCAAAGATTTCAAATCACCCTTCACCAACACAAGTTGATGTAATTTTCTTTGGGCTAAGGCTTTTGATAGAGTTGACCTTGTTTGCATTTATATAAATCACATGTCTGTTGAAATATGCTCTCGTGGATCAGGTCCTCCCTGTTAAATAGGAAACAAAGCGTTTTTATGGTGCTAAATTTGGTTACGCACATGTTAATAATGTAAAAAATCACTTCATCGTGCTAAAACTAAGACATTCATTTATTAAAGTCACCAGTGACCAATAGCTATTTAAAGTACCTTGAAATGAAGACAAGGTATATGTGTTTATATCCTGTATAAAAGATTGATAGATTTGAGCTGAGTAAATCGCCTTCAAGCACAGTTTCAGCATAATCTGAATGGTTGTCAGCTGGTATTGCATCTCATGCTATCGTGAGCAAGAGCAGCTTGCTATGATAAGTTGCATCCGATTGTGTATTGTTATGTTTATTTTTTCAGCTCGTGACATTACTAGGGAATATGAAGGTCTGGAGGATTTACAGGGGCGGATCTTAACTATTTGCAGACAAATTGTGGGGAAAATGTTTTTAAATATATGAAACATAATTATCTACATGAAACAGTTAATAATTTGTTGATTTATGAACCAATATACATTGATAAAAGTTAATATGTTTTGACATAATAGTGAATTTTTAAGCTTCGGGGATGTACACAAGTACAGGTGTACCAAGTTTGCATATTGCATTTCTGTAATAAATAAGACAAATGAAGTCTAAGCTGCCATTACATGCCATATCAGTAAACATGGACGGGAAAATAAGTACAGTTAGAGGGATAGTGAACCAGGAAGCTTGCGACCAATGGTCAATAGTTCAATGGTTAAGAGTTAGCTTTGATAAATATGCCTTTTAACACAATGATCCACAATATATATTTCAATAAATTTACCTATACATGTTAAGGATTTTTTGTCAGAAAACAGGAATGTTGGGATGAGAAATAACGGTACTCATTTTGTTACATGGTAACATATTAGTGGTATGTACGTTGTAAAGAGTAGCGGATATATCTGTAATCATTCAAGTGGGCATATATTGCAACACACTAAGAGATCGGAATGTTGCATCCTGGGAAAGTTGATGAGAACAATATGAGTAGTTCAGGACTGAGATGAAGCTATTTCTGGGTACTGGTCTGGTATACTGTGGCGTTAAAGCTTCTTCAATTTAATTGGATGTTTTATTATTGTTTCGTCGCGGCCAGCGGCTGAATTGAAAAAGATTTACAGCATAATGTAAACAATGAAAATGTACATTTTTTCTTAAAATGTAAAACATTGAAAGAAACTCAGTTATATAGAGGAAATAAGAAGGTTTATAATAATGGTCGAGATTTAGAGGTACTAGTCTACCAAAGTTTTATATATTAGGTCAGCTTGTTATAACATTATTATACATGATCATAATAATAATAATGGTGGCTACTTGCAAAGCGCCCAGGTCCGTCACGCATGATGTGATGTAGGTAACAAAACCTTTAATTTTTAGTTAAGTTGGACTGAGTGAAATGAGATTTATATTTTGAAGTAGAATTGAAATTCAGAATATTTATTTGAAATCAGAAAAACATGATGGAGAAAACCATGGAGAAATTACAAAACAAAGTTTCTTTGGGTTAATGATGTGTAGACTCAATAACGAAAGCAATTAAGAGTGTAATAGTTCAATTTTATTCTAAAAGCATTATAACATTGTTGAAACTATAAGCTTATAGATGAAACATAGAATATTGAAATTTATCATAATTGTATACTAGGGATTAATTAGACATCAATTTAAGGGGTTTTGTCATTGTGTAAGTTTTTTCACATTGACTCTGTACTACATTGATGTTTGAGATTGTGTATAGTTTTATCCCATGTAACTTTGACATTGTTTGTCTGTACTCAAAGGTATATAAAGTGCATATGTTTAATAAATCCTTAAACCTGTGATACACAAGAGTTGGCGTGTCAGATGCACGGCTTTTGGTTGTGTGTGGGTGTGTGCGTTTGTGAGGATGTTTGTGTGTGATGTAGGTCCCTTGGTCAGAAAATTTCATGATGCATATAGGCAGTACAGCCCAAACATATATGTCCGTGTGTGAAATGAATGCAAAAAAAAATGAAATGAAATGATCGAAGGAAGAAATAAAGAAATAACGAATCAGAGAAAGAATTGATGAAAGTTTGATTAAAAAAACTTAAAAACCCATTCAAAAGTGAGGACCAGATCGATTTCCTCTAAAGGGATGCCTGTTTGTGATGTAATATTATGACCATGCATAGCAAGGGCATTTAAATGGTGTTGTTGTTGTTGTTGTTGTCGTAATTGTAGTGCTTAACTCAGCAAGCTGGGGCCGGTTCCTCGAAACCGTCATAAGTATAACTTCTTGACCATCCCATTCAAACGTGTGATATAAAATATATAGAATTAACACACGTTTCAATGGGAAAGTCAAGAAGTTAGACTTATGACTGTTTCGAGGAACGGGCCCCTGGATACAATTCTTCGAAAGAGGGCGTCCCGCATTTTCGTATCAGGTTCATTTTTACACCTCTTCAGACTATGTTTGAAATGAACCCTTTTGGGCTTAAATAATAAGATATCAGAGATTAAACTATAAGTAGAAGTTTTAATAATAACATTAAACCATTTTCCTGCAATATTTGTCATAAGAATTTGTTAAAGAACCATCTTCTGTAGGCGTCCCACACTTCCTTTTTTAGTAATAATTATATATCGCTGTGTGATATGCCATAGGATTAGGGTTAGGTACATTAGGGTTATGGTTAGGGTTAGGGTTGAATAAACGTCTTACTGGCCAAAAGCCACAACATTTTCATTACAAAACATTTATATCACCATTCCACACATGATTATGAATCGTACAAGCTGAATTTCCTTGTTTTGAATAAAATGTTGGCAGTTGTGTTGTCCCATACTTCCACAAACGAATGAAATATGAGTATAAACAAAAAAACGCATATTTTGTTTTTCTCATAAAATTTACAGGATTAAACGTCGAGAAACTACTAATATTAAAGATTATTGCATGTTATAGCTGTTTAGCATTTTTTTGATTTTTTTAATCCACCCCAAATTAAGATTTAGACCAATTTGCATGCTGCTAAATAATCGTCCTTTGCAATTCTTTCATTTTAAAACTATTTGCCAAGTATCTTCTTAAACCCATTACAACATATAGGGTAAATCCTTTAAAACAACGAAATGAGAAACAGCGAATTAAGATTGCATGGAAGAATTAACAAAATTAAAGCTTGACACGATAATATAAAGGATTTTAAAAGTAAAAACGAAATTTGGACCTAATATCTCGTAAAAGAAAGGCGTAATTGATGATTCCCACACTTCCGATCGTGTACAAAATAAATGGGCGGAGCTAACGCGAATTAAGGTGGAAGACTGTGATCCATTCTCACTTTGTATTTGTCCCACACTTTCTCGCCCGGAGAGCGAGAGAGAGAGAGAGAGAGAGAGATAAAAAAGGTCGGCGTCATTCAAACATTTAATTAAAACTGGTTAATCAATTTGAATGACCAAAAAACACAAAGAAGAGTAATAAACAGTATATTATGCGACCTGAAATTTGTTTAGCTGATTTGTTGATTTTCACTTTGTATTTGCTGACAAAGTTACTAGGATGCACCAATACAAGGAACTCCATCCTGTGTCTGATGATGCTAATATTTTGCTCTGTATTTTTATCTGAAAACGTCAGATGAAACAATTACTGTAACGGTCATATTGAAAGAAAGATGCTGAAAAAGACTACGAAGAAAGGATTAGCCTTTGTAATTTACGTCATAGGTAACAAAAATGCCATCACAACAGTCTTCATCTTGCAAAAGCTCATGAATAAATAACCCATTTTCATTGACATTGACATTCAGCAGACAGCATATAAATATTCACACTATCGGCAGAATGCCTTGCTAAAAAGGTGTATCCCTATTTTAGCAAGGTCATCATCATCATCATCAGCTCAGAGTCTTAACCTCTTTCTTCTTTGTGACGATATAAATCGGAAGACATGTGGGTCGTCTGTACCGGAATTCTTCAGTTTGCCCGCTAATCCCAGGCGCCCTCACCTGTGACGTCATAAAGCATGCCAGGTTGGCTATCGGATAGGACAAGTTGTCTGGTCTGGTTGGGTCAAACCTGGAGGGATCTATACCGGGATTTTTCGATGGTCTCTCAACCAGAAAAAAAAGGGGGTGGGGTGAAGAAGTGAGGGGAAACAGGGCGTTTCTCTTAAGGTTTTCAGTTGAGCATTGACGACATTTGAAAATAAAGCAAAAGAGCTTAGAACATTGAAATTCAAATACAGTATAAATTTTCCTAATTTTGTTCATAATATCTTTCTACATTTTTCAAGAGTTTTTTAATTTATTGCTCATCCATTACTGAAATATGCATGTATCGCAATATTTTTCCTTACATTAATGAGCGCGGTTTTTCATACAATTTGGAATCAAAAGATGTTGACTCTATGGAGGAAAGAGGTTAAGTAATCACATTTTGGGGAATGGCATGGGGGGTTCTACATTCTTTCTTTCGACACGAAGATACTCGCAGTGAACTTGAGAGAAGAGAACTCCCTCGAAAAACCTTTGGGAAGCATTTCCCTCTCAAACATTTTGTTGTAATTTCTGTTACTTTTGAAAGTTCGTTCAAAAGTGAGATGTGAATACTTAAAGGTAATGAAAAAGGAGGAAGAGGAGGAGAAGAAGGAGAATAAAGACAAGAACATAAAGTTTCAATTCGGCAGACGGGTGGGATGTGAGTGATATTGACGGGCGTGTCTTTCATGATTTCCTTACACATCTGTCGAGGAGAGCTGGCTGGTTTCAAATCAAGAAACCCCTCCCGAGAGACACGTGTGACTGAAAATGATACAGACCAACTCATGCTACATGTACCTTAAAGATGAGTATACTGGTCATGTAGTTGCCTTGTGACAACAATGTCTACAAGTTACTGGGAAAGGATGATTATGTAGTATATAACAATTTTATTGTGTATGGTTCAGCATTTTGGCTGCGAGGCATCGTTTTTTAATTACACCATTATTGAATCATCAGAATCATCAAGTGACAAGACTAGAATCTTGATCAAAATCACAAACAGTCACGATGAAAACCACTGCACACAGATATAGGTACATAGGACTAATCAAAAATGCTGGCATCAGAATTCGGTCTCTTTATATTTTTTAAACAACCTAGTTTTTCTTTTGATATTTGAAATACATGAGTACTTCGAGACTAATACGTATAACGATACACCGCCTCAGCCCTCAACGATATGCTTCCACATAGACATAAGACAAATGAGAATCCTCACAAACTATTTGTCACTTTTATACCAGAATTCAACCATCTCTTTAATTCAACCCCCACTAGAGACCATTTACTGAAAATGATACTAACCAACTCATGCTTCCCTAATGTAAAACAGGGATAGCAATGACGCTATCTTCCTTATTGTACGGAAAGTTCATGCTATTCTACCCAGGATATGAAATGTTTTCCTTCTAGTAAGCACGACCACATGGTGGTTCACGTATTTAAAGACTCGTCATTTCCATATCTTTGAGCAAAAAACATGAAATCGTGCATGCATGTTCAGATTATTACAATAGATTACATCATGTAATGATTCAAGGGTGCGTAAGAGAGAGAGAGAGAGAGAGAGAGAGAAAGAGAGAGAGAGAGAGAGAGAGAAAGAGAGAGAGAGAGAGAGAAAGGGAGAGGCAGTGGGAGAGAGAGGGGGGAGAGAGAGAGAGAGAATGAAAGAGGGAGAGAGAGAAATAGAAAGAGAGAAAGAGAGATAAATAGAGAATAATAGAAAGACAGAGAGATAACAATTTTATTCGGCATCTATTCAGAATAAAACTGTAGACTCCTTTTAAAGGAGAAGACGATTTCAAAGACTTCTTAAAACAAAATGAATAAATCTAAGACAATTCCAACAGCTTTGCACGTGACCTATTTAAATGTTCGAACATACCAATGACACACGTGTACCGAATGCTAATGACGTTTCCCTCGAATTTATTTCTTGAAAGTCTTTAAGATCGTGTTTGAGGAATTAACCCCAAACGCATTACTCCTACACGTTACACAACATGATTTTGCCGCCAAATATACGAAAAAAAAGTAGAAATTGAGACTTTCTTTGCCAAATGTATCGTCTGCTATAGCACTGTACCTGGGGACTGCCGTTTCCTTCACAGTGTGACTCAATACCTGGAATGGCACAAAAATCAAAGGGAAACGTAAAATGATGTCAACAAAAGACAGGCCCTCTATTTTTGAATATATAAAGATAAAGATACATGTAAATGTACGTGTAAATAGACATGGACAATATTTTCTTCGCCAAAAACCTCAGTGCAATTTTCAAAAGATTATTTTTCGAGATATTTCATCCATCAAAATATCATCGAATGTGTCCAATTAAAGAGCGGCTATTTTGTTATCTATTAATCCTCTGATATTCATCGGGCAGAACACACATGCTCGCCGACCGTTCGAAAATGAATTGGGAAAAATCCACTTTCGCTTCTAATTTACACGTCTCTCTACAATGACGTCATACCCTAATTGAAACGTCATGGAAACAAATGGGATTAGGACACGGGGGAAGAATTCAATATGTTGATGATTTAGAGATTCATCGATAAGATGGGTTATTTACAGCTTTTCACCTTTTCGTCAGAGATCACTTCTGATCAGCGTCGTGTTTTTGCCACATTTTTGATTTTTTTTTTCCTTCTTCTTCTTCTTCTTCTCCATTCATTCAACGCCCTTTCTCTAGTTCATTTAAGAAGCTACAATGCTGAAGCCTCCTAGTTGCTTTAACCTCTCCATAGTCTTTTCCTAATATGGACGTATCTTTCATGATTTTGATTAAACCTACAATGATCCATTCATGTATA